ACATACCAGTATATTCTCAATCAGCCTGCTGTATGCAAGGACAGAAGCCCCTTCCTTGTTTTTATGGTCCCAGTTGCCCCTGTAGAGACTGCAGCAAGGGATGCGGTCAGGAAAACATGGGGTACTCCAGGTCAGGACACCCTGACTCTGTTTTTTGTGGGGCTCCCTGAGGGGGTGCAGGTGTCAAGCATCCAGGACAAGCTGGAGGAGGAGAGTAGGAAACATGCAGACATCATTCAGATGAATTTCCAGGACAGTTACCAGAACCTGACAATCAAGACCATGGTGATGATGAACTGGCTGGCGACCCACTGCCCAAACGCCTCCTATGCCATGAAGGTGGACGCTGACATCTTTGTGAATGTTTTCTACCTCATCAGACGATTGAGGAGCTCCCCCAGGCAGGGCTTCATCACAGGGTCAGTGATAAGTGATGGCAGGCCAAGGAGGGACAGCAACAGCAAATGGCATGTGTCAGAGGAGCTGTACCCCGAGGACAGCTTCCCCCCTTATGTGTCTGGAGCTGGGTACGTCTTCTCTGCAGACCTGGCCGCCAGGATTTCCTGGGCATCCAGGTTTATCCGGATGATCCCCCTGGAGGACGTCTACGTGGGGTTGTGTTTGCGTGTGCTGGGCGTCCGGCCGGTGTACTCCCGCAGCCTGCTGACATTCAGGAACCTGTTTGAAATTGGAAAGTTGGAGTACGACAGGTGCATTTTTGCCAAACTGGTCATTGTCAATGGGTTTAAACCACCACAGCTGCTGGAAATTTGGCAGGACTTCTCCAAAGGCCACACTAGCTGCTAACAGCAAAGATAACCAAATATGAGAGCTTGAAACGAGATTTCATATAATGAAATTGGTAGCCTGCTGTAAAGGAAAAAAAGCCATTAGACACACAGCCATCAGGGTGTTAAGCTTAAAGTCTGATGGAGTAGTGGGATTAGTTGTTAGAAGGTGGAAATTATATTATCAAAGAATTTAACAAACGGAGAACTTTACAGAGATCTAGAAGAATGTGTTCTGAAATAAAATTAGAAATCATTAAGTTAAAAAATGAATGGCAGCAATTTTGATAATAGATGAATTCTTTAAGTCAGTGGTTCCCAACATTCTTAGGCATCGCAAGACAGGAAATAGACTAAAAGAGTTTTGACAAGTCACAGTAGGAAAAACACAGGTGTAGGTAATAAAATCAACAATGGCTGAATTCCGTTTAGCTGCTTCAGTTTCTGGCTCCTGGCATTGTGCATGCTGGCTCACTGTATAGAACTGAGCCATCAAAAAGCTAATTAGTAACACCTGTGCTTTTCCTACTTAAAACATAGCTATGCAAATTTGATTTATTTGTTGTGACTTTTCTCTAATATTGTAAATTCCCATTGTATTCTGTGGTATTATATTTTAGGTGTACCCATCTTAGAAGGCTGCTGTAGAAATGAAGTTACAAGACATTAATCGATTATCAAATAGTTATACGATACTATAGATGAATTGTTTCAGCTGTAATTGATAATGAAGATAGCTGTTACCTGCAGCCTTACGAGAATGTATGTTACGACCTCTGTCACAAGCCGTTTGCATTAAATGGATTTTAGCCCAAGAAGAAGCAGCAGTGTTTTAGAGACACAATGTTTACTGTAGCCAGTCTAGTGTTTCAGCTGCTTTATCCAAAATGCTGGAAAAATCACAGAATTTTTACTACTGTTGGTCTGTCTGTATTTATTTTACTCTCAAGCCAAAGACTATTTTAAAATACATCCATTTCACTACCATTGGGATTATTCTTCGGTTAGTGTCTGATGGGTTCAGGGTCCACGTGTACAGTAAATTACATGGGGCCTCATTACCCTGTAAACACTGTTTAAAAAAATAAAAATAAAAAAAAATAAACATGAAATATTGACATGATGCGTTGCACTGCTACTATACAAAATGTAACTTTATAAAATAACCTGCAGCTTATTTGCCAGGTTACTGTGCCTATTTATTTACAGTATGTAGCAAATGACAGTGTGCCTATTTATGGATGTGTTGTAGTTGCACATGGCCATCAGCAGGTGGCAGTATGTGCCAGCAGATGAGCAGATGTGGTTATTCTTTACAGTGCAAAAGGATGTTGCTGGTGATTCAGTGCCTAATTCAGTTGGACTATGACAGTGAGAATTGTGGAGGAAATAAGTAACTTTCTCTCAGAAAAGCATTTAATTGTGTTTTTCTGTATTTACCAAAATGCCTAATCTATTTATACCTCATGAATGGATACTGAAGCTGTAGTTTCTGCATAATAATGACAAAATGTGCTGAATCCAGTTATTTTTAACTGTTTATCAGTGTGTCTGTCCCTTACAATGTCTCAGTGTTTGTTGTTGGTTTTTTTGAAAGGAAAGTTTCCATCACTGTTTTATTACTGCTATTATTGTCTTGCTATTACTACTGCTGCTGCTGCCTTTGTGTCCCTGCAGAGTTTTAGTTTGCCTTGCTGGAATAAATGATGTTTCCATCCAAACAAAAAGCCTCGGGCAAATATTGTACTTTGTACAATTTTATTTGTTTGACCAGTTTTACATTTAATGATGTATTCATCAAATGCATACAGTAGCGCAGCATTGAAATGCTTATTTTTGAAACTCAGGGCATTATAAAGAACATGCTTTATCAAGAAAAAATAGAAACCAAGGACAAAAGGAAAGTACAGTATATACAGTGCATTAGGAAGTAGGTTGACGACTACAGGTGTTAAGTAGTTAAGTAAGTATTAAATATGACGTTAGCAGATAATTGTTATTATTACATTCAAATGTAGCAGCTTTCTAAGCAAGGTGAGTGAGGTGGAGCTGATTAGAATTATGTTAAACAGTTTGATGTTATAAAGAGTCTGTCCTTTTCTCAGGACAGTGTGTTCATGCACAGACTGGGCTTGACTGACAGCTCTCTCCTTCCTGTTTGTTTTGTTGTGGGACAAGTTAAAACTTCCCTTCTCACACTTTGCTAACTGCAGTCTGTAAATTCAAATCTGTAGAGTCAAAGAAATACATTACACACAATGTTGTTAAAATATGAAGAACCTAGCATGTTCCTCATGTTTTCACTGAACTATAGGGATGCTTCCAAGGGCCAGGTCCAACCTTACCAGGATCCTGACAATAGAGATAAATTACATTTTTCGTGACTTTTGTTTTGCACAGGCATACATGTAGGTTCAAAATGATATAGGAGAATGGACCTGTATTATCGTTTTCAAATATAATAGAAAGCACAGCTCAACAAAAATATAGCCATAATGATGTTGAGAAAAGAAAACTTCACCAATGTTACTAGTACGTGAAGTCTGGTGTGTGTACTTGTGTCCTGTAATGTACTTAATCAAAAATGGACCACTATGGGACATGAGAATGCAGAGAAAATGAGAGTATGGAAATTTTCAGAATGATGCAATTTCTAGAGGTGAGTGTGAATTGTAGTGTAACATGTAGATATAATTGTTAGCTATTAACTGGTACACTGCTGTTATACAGTATTTCAAAAGGTGTTCAGAAAGTCCTTTCTTTCCATTCCTAATTGATTGCTGATTTGAAAAAGTTGCATATTGAATTAACAGACTGGATGATGGTGAACTAGAGACAGCAAAAGGTAGAATTACATGTTGTGTTATGACTGGCCTGCTGGCTGATGCCTGCAGCAGAGCCGGCTGCTGCTTCATGATTCACCAGTGTGGCTGAGCCTCAGCAGATGGCAGCCTCACAACTAGACAACGCTCTGCAGAAACCAATCCTAGGCTAAGGTCTGCAAGTGTTTTTCTTGTTCTGGGTTGGCAGCAAACCAAACTAAGTCTTTATCACTGGGAGGAGAAGACAGATACTTTTTGTTGTGCCAGGGTTAGCCCTTTTATCAAAATTCTGTAACAGAAAAGAAAGGTGAGTCCAGCCCTTAGAAACTGATTTCATACTAGGTTTGGTAACACTGATATATATATATATTTTTTTTTTACATTAAACTGTCTGCAGGGCTTTCTTTAGTGGTTGCAAACCTGGAGGCTGGGATCCCTCAAGGGGCCCAAAGAAAGATTTGAGGTGTCACAAGATATTTCTCTCACACTCACATTTATTATTATTTTTGTATATGTGTCTGAATATGTACCTCTTCTGGACCTTCAGATGAAAGAATCGGACAATGAAAATCATTGTTTGAACTGAACATGTATCTTGTGTTGTGGGGTCACATCTAGATATTACTTTACTTAAGAGCTCACAAGCCAAACAAAGTATTGCCTTAAAGAATGATAAATGCATATTCTTATGCAATGTTAGTATACAATATACAACATTTGCTGGTAAACCATTGACAGCATGCTCGGGAGGACTTCCTTACAAGCACGCCTGCTCTTACATAGTCAGATCAACCTCTAGCTGAACAGCCTAAATTTGTAAAATTCTATATTGTTTTGTTCCTCTTTCCATTTCACCATGTTAAAGCTCTTCTCCATTTGGCTGTTATTTGTGTACCGTCTGTTCGAGTCTATTCATTTCCCACACGACTGAGTGGGAGTTTGTGCTTTGGGCCAGAGCTCCACATTGTTCAAAACACTCCCACCTCTGTGCTGTGCTGTATCTAGATACTTCTGATCAGCACAAACAGCTTTCAGATGAGACGTCATATTGTCATTGTAAGGCAATATACACAAATGTTTTAACTGTAGACTGAATGCTGTTATTGTAAGCTAAATTTCTCAAGTGTGTTTTGGGGGGCTGAAGGGGTCTTGAAAGGTATCAAAGAAAAAATAAAGATCATCAAATAAAGAACATCTGCTATCCGCAAAAAATGTAATATCACGAAATTCTACATCAGTCCAGCACTGTTCTCCTGACACGACACAGACTCTGCCAAGCCGCCTGTGTGCTGCTCAGCTCCGCCCGGCCTCCTCTCCTCGTGGGTGGAGTTACATCCACCGACGCGCTGGTGAGGCTGGTTTCTTAGACAACCCATAAAACATGTATTTGCATTAGCGGGGCTTGTTTTACCACAGACCGCATCCACAGCGAAGTGAGCTGCTGCAAACTGACTGCCTGGATCCTGCAAGAGACTCGTTAGCAGTTAGAGGGAAAGTGTTAAGACAGCGGGGACTTCTGCACAGACAACACACTACAACGGAACTATGATGCACAGTACTTCACAGAGAACATAAACCTGAGCTGCCTTTTACTCACAACGACGCTGGGACTGAATCCAAGTAAGTAGACTATTTGCCTTGTTATCATGTGAGTTTGTAGAAAGTTTAGAACTAAAGTGCAATGCCTGCTTTATAGAAAATTGTAGGAAGAAATATGGGAGCATATATTATTCCACAGAATGTTGTTTTGTCGACAAGCATGCCACAAATCACTAATGAATTGAATAGAGAAGCTGTAAAAGCAAGCAAATTACATGACTAACTTAAGGTACAAAAAGCTTAACGCTATAGTAGTGCAAACGTATATATATTCAAACTCTCAGGCAGTGGTTCCCAACCTTGGGACAGGACTCCCCAAAGGGGTCAAGTATGGAGGGTCAACAGCTTTAAAGACAGAAAAAGTGTAGCCTATATTTCGAAGTTGGCAATCCAGACCCCTGAAATTGAGCTATTTTCTCTCTTTAGCTTAAATAGTTTTTTTTTTTTTTATGGCTGCTCTAATCAATACTGTTTGCGCAAGGCAGCTGTTCTCAGTGATAAGTGTTAAAAATCCTCTTTATGGCACCTGGCCTGGCATTAAACCAAAGTTAGTGACTTGCGGGTGGAACATTTAGCAGCTAAAAAAGCTAAAGAGCCAGATATTTCCCCCCAGGAGTTGGTGGAAATCGAAACAGGGCTAAAAGGAGCGTAAATATAAATAAAGACTTATTCATCAGGTGACCAGAAACACAACTTCAAATGTGGATGTTGCTCTGTGTCTGCTGGATGTGGAATAGGCAACTACTGGCTGACACATTGCCACATGAACAACAAAGTGACAATATGTCAGTGTTGTATTTACAGATCCCAAACAAGCCGCCAAAAAAAGTAAATGAATACCTGTTTAAATAAATTTGTGTTTAACTGACAAATAGCAAACATGGGGCAGGGTAGTATTCCAGTGCAGAAATAAATTGGATGTGGGAATGTGTGTGTGGGCGTTCTTTAGTGGTCCACAGCTCCTTTTTGGCACAAGGTCCTCTAATGGGTTAATCCATCCCTATCTTTGTCACAAAACGTCTTAGACTTTTTTGTAATACTTGTTTTTTTCTTGTAAAAGTACTGGATACTTGGCCTCTTCAGACTTCTAAGATACCTCTAAAAACAATCTGAGAGGGAAAATAACTATTTGGTTGGGAACTTATTCCATAGTGCAATCCCTGTGGGGTAATTTTATTGTGCTGTGTGAGTTAACAGGGAGATCAATTTGTGGATTTGCATTGTGTTCCTTTGAAGACATCAACTTAGTTTGATTGCACAAACCTTAGTGAGAGATCAATGTCTCATGCAAAGTATTATTACCGTCGTCTTGTCTGTCGTCAGGAAATAAACTCAACTGTGATGTTTTTGAAACAAACAGTGTCTGATGTCTGGCATTTCATGTCGTCATGTTGGTTTTCTATGTTGCTTGCTTGACATGTGTATGTATGTGTTATTTTTGTGAAAAGTCCTGTGTCTGCGCTTTTTCTCATTTGCTGTTGCATGTATGTGGTTCCTCCTCAGTTTCTGCATAGAGACCTCTGGGTTTGTTCCACCATCAACGAGATGCATATGAATAGCTTATTAAATCAATGGAGTAAGTATTGAGAGTTTCTAATACTTTTTCATCTCTTCTGCGTAGGGTTTACATTACATTTCTGACATTAAATGCATATATTTCATGGATTGTGTATTTACCAGGAGGGGATTTTGATTTCTTATCTGTATGTCACATTCAAAAGGAAGTGGCAAAGTAAAATAATCTGACATTGAACTGAGAAACCACAACTTAATCACTTGTCTTGAGCGTGATCTGCGTATGTGGTGCTGTGTTGCTTGATGTCAGTGTCTCACATCGATTACAGCAGTTGCTGTATGTGTTCAATCATTATGTCTTCTCTGTGTTATTGTGTCTTAGATGGACTGGGGCTTTAAGCGGATGAATCTGCCGTACTGTAATCATGTTTAGCTGTGCATTGCTCTGAAATAGAAAGACCTTTGCTCAGAATCCTGCCCTTCTAAACATGCTCAAAGATGGTGTGTCAGAGAAGTGTCCTATTACCTGCCCTCCACGTTGAACACATCCTGTACAGGCTATAGGTTTTCTTTCTTTATGCTTGAGCTCAAGTAAAAGAATATTTTAAAGCAGTAGATAAATATGAAACCCCAAAGTCTTCAATATTAAATAAAAAAGACTATGATAAAATGAAATAAATAATAATATTAATCAATTGTGTAAAATGTATAAATGAACCAACAGTTTGTGAAATAATTGATTAAAAAATCAATTCATTATTATGAAATGTTGTTTCTCTTTTCATTTTCATAATTACAGTTTTATTGGATATTATTTTAATTTCATTATAGACATTTTTATTTCAGAAGTCTGTTTTTTGGGGGGCATTTTTCCAATAATCTGTTTATTTCATAATGTCAGGTTTAATAATCAAACATTTTATTTCATAATGTTTTCACGACAGTGATGTTGTCACTGCCCTCACACTTTTCAGCCAGTCATGTACCCCCTGCCCCTCTTAAACTAGCAAGCTCAATAACTGCTACCTATTTTGACTAGTTTGTTCCTGTTAGCTGACAATGCTAAAGTTATTCATTATTACCCAAGTAGAGGCTGCTGCTGTAAACAAACACTGTACACATACACAGTAACCAATCCTTTAAACCTTGGCTTAACAAGGCTGCCCATGCACACTTTATTTAAATAATCTACTAATTTTATAATTACCTATTTAATTATTTATTTAATAATGAACACTTTGGGGATCCACAGATAAATGCTAGATAGTTCTTTTTTCTCATATAATAATTTTCCTGTGCTCAAGGGAATGTTCTCTTGCTGTTTAATTTAGAACACAGCAGTAGTACAAAAGGTATAAAATTCAGTGCTGACCCCAAGCTAAAGCAGACACCTGCCTCTAAGAATTTACATTTACATGTAAGAACACATGTAACAAAACAAAACAAGTAATATTTTTTGCCACTTGTGCACACAAAGGACAGTGAACAATGCACATATAAGTTTTTCTAGTGCTCTAAGGCACTTTTTATTTATTATGTGAAATGGTCCAGATCAGTAGTACATGATATTGTTTAGCCATTTAGCCTGGGTCAAATTAAGTACATTCAAAGTATGTAAAATTGTAAGTAACTGGTGTAACTTTTTTAATTAAATTCACACAACTGTTACATGCCTGGGAAGCTCAGTGACAAGATTCATGTTTGCACTGGCTTTGTAGTTTGCAGCAGGCCTTTGAAAACAGTTCCTAGCAAGCCATCTGTGTTGTTGATGTAAATCCCTCACCAAAGACAGGCAGTTGTTGTGAGAGTCTGTGCATTGGAGGGATGCAGAAGGGAGGGAATCCTAATGAACCCTCAACGCACTTCTGCTTTTGATGCTGATGCGCAGATTTCACAGGAAATCCTTCAGGCTACGGATCACAGTGATCATCACCTTTGTCATGTGCTCTCAGCCCTAAGCAGATGGTAAACGCAAATAATCTCACCATGAAATATAGACAAATCCTTCACTTCTTAGCATCTTTGTGATGTCTCACCATCAGTTTTTTCCATGAGTGATTTGGGTGTAACCCGCTACAGACACCACATCACCCCACCCTTAGTGGTGCGGTGGCTGGCAGTATGCTGCTATAGGCTAGTGCATTCTTATCGACAGACTGCACTCATCAAATACATTTTATACTGTAGCGTAAAGGAATAGTTCAATAGTTTGGAAATACACTTATTCTTTCTGAAAGTGAAATGAGAAGATAAATATTAATGTTTGTAATAAATGTTCTTTTAGCAGCTCCTGGTTTAACAAGAATCTACAGCCATGCTAGCCGATCTATGAGGCAGTAACCTACGTAAGCATAGCTGTGCATTGAGCTAAATTCTAACATTAGCAACATGCTCACAATCACATTGCTAACATGTTTGCAGGTATGATGTTTACCATATTCATCAACTTAGTTGTGTGTATTAGCCATAGACTTGGACTGATTTGTCACCCATAGGTTTCTGAAGATTGTGAAGAGCAGTGTGGGTTGCTCTGGTTGTTGGCTGACTTGCTTAATACTCGGCCAATCCAAAATTGGGCAAAGTTGTTGGAGCGTCGTAAGAGCTGAGACTGGATGCAGCAGCTAGTCAACTGTGATGGCACCCTGCTGTCATTCAAAGTTAGCCCAATATACAAGTATCTATATATATATATGTATATATACAATTATACAAGAAGACGAAAAACAATGTAGTGACGAAACGTAGCGCCGTTTGTCTGTTTTCAACTACTGTAAAAACATGGCGACGCAACATGTAAGGGGGACCAGCAGTTATGTAGATAGAAATGGCTCATTCTAAGGTAATAGAAACAGTTCATTATGTAAGGTCTTTATGCACCACTGAAAACATAGTTATGGATATTATATTGCATTTCTGTCAATAAATCCTCAGAAATATTACACAATGGAACTTTAACTTAATAAACAATTGCAACTGCTATTTGGAAAACTTCTGGATAATTCTGAGAAAACTTCCAGTAGCTGATAACTTAAAATGGATATTAACAATCTTTGCATCACTCATTTAAATCTTGTTGAGGTTTAATTTAGGCTATCATGGAAACTAAAACTCTACTGGAATCCATAATAATAATAATAATAATACCTGGCTTCAGCTACTACCACCACTACTACTGTGCTACTTGTCATGGACTTTGACTTTGCCATGCTTCAAATGCTGCATTCAGGAATGCTGGTTATCTTTCGCTTTGCAGACATTTTGTCTGCATAGCATGAACTTGACAAACATTGAGGGTTGGCTCAAATACTGGATGGGTTCAGTGTTGTGTTGGTGGTGGGAGGTAGTAGAAAGGGACAGAGATACATTGTGTTGTTTCCACATTTTGTATGACCTCCATCACTGTTTCCAGCCCACTCACCCTTCTCTCTCTCAAGTGGCATGTTGTTCTCAAACAGGATTCTTCTTCGCAGGAAAAAATAGAGCGAAGCATCTCATTCTGCCAACGTTTCCACAGGCGGTCAGGGAGTCACTCTGTTGTGGAATAAAATCAACACTCTTTGTTTGGGTGTTATGCAAAACCACAGAGGGAGATACTGGCTAATGTGGGGAGTCTCTCAAATGGCCTGAATGCATTTAGAAAAAGTCCAATTATTTAGGTTGTTTACAACCAATGATCTACTTAAAGTTTTTAGTGATGATGTGCCATTCCTTTAGACAGCATATAACTTCAAGGGCTGTAGATGTTTGTTGATGTTTTTTGTGATGTAATTGCTACTAGGTGATCCAAAAAATGGACTTTGCCATGTTTCATTTCATGACATGTCTGCATGATCGCCATCACTGTGACTTTAAGAGCCAGCTGGTCTTACTAGAGCTGAACACTAAGATGTCATCTTAATATACAGTAGTTCTTAGGATAATCTGCTGTATGTTGGTATTTCCAGTGCTATTCTGGTAGCTCAGCATAAAAGTTAAATCCATGTCATGTATTTTATTATTATTATTTTTACTTGTGAGCATTAATGCAAATATGCCTCTAATAATACCTTTAAATAGAGATCCACACTTTTTGTTTTGTTCTATCTGTGCTGTTAAATTATTAGGAAGGGAGGTTGAATGTTAATGTTTCCCACCAATATTCATTTAATTAAGACAATGAGTATCTACCAAATCACACATCACAAGTGGAATTAGCACTTGCCAAAAGTATGGCAAACACAACACATTTATGTGATGATTTACCAAACAATCCAGCCACTCTGACTTTTGCAATGTTGGTCTGACCACACTGAAATATTTCAACAACTATTGGATGGACTTCCATGAACGTTTGCACACACATTAATGGTCTCCAGAGGATGAAGCACACTGACAATGGTGATTGCCTGACTTCTAGTGTCACCAGCAGGTCAAAGTTTTCAGTTTTATAAAAAGATGGATAGGTACAAAATTTTTTATAAATATTCATGGCTTCCAGAACATGTATCTTAATGACTTTAGTGTACTTATGAGGTTGACATTTGTCATTTTAAGTTACATATCTCGACCTCTATTGGATGGATTGTCGTGATTTTTGGTCAAGTTATTCCTCAGGCTGTCTGCGTTTTTGTCTAAGATCTTTTACCCTTTGACAGTGTGTTTTCAGTTCCTAAAAATGTCTTGCTCAGCATTCGGTTGTATTAAAAGTTTTCTTCAGGTATGTACAGTTGGTTTTAAGCCTGTTTTTTGCTAGCCATAATTAGCATCTCAATTAATATCACAGTTAACATGAATTACGAATGCACCTCACTAACAGTGAGGTAGCTCCACCCTCTCATCCGAACACGGTCACTTCTAGTTCCAAAAAAACAGCAAAAATGCCAAATTTGAGGCTTCACAATGGTAGCAGACAAACCATTGGGTGACGTCACAGTTATGGCTATGTGACCTTCTTTTGTACAGTCTGTGGGCAGTCCCTTAACTTTTCATCTAGCACCATCATCAGGTTAACATTTCAGTTTCATCTGTGATAAGATTCTTGCAAAACCAACATTCCCATCAGCCTCAGCTGTACCATTTTTT